AATTCAGTTGATTTAGTTTTTTGTCGTTTATTTTAGTGTTATAGTATTTAGTTTATTAACTTCCCGTTATAGTAATGGGTCGAAAATGAAATTTTTGCATTTCTCGACGTTTTGAAGGTTTCTGAACTTTTTGGCATACCTCAGAAAAAATGGATGTACGTGTGTGTGTGTATGTATGTATGTATGAATACAAATTTTCGTTCACGTTTTCGGGCGTACGGATCAAGCAATTTGAATGGTTTAAAAAACATTCGATTCCTATTGATAAGGAGATGTGCTGATTAGTTTTTGGTAGAGGGAGGTCCAGCAGGTACGGAGATAACGAGCAAATAGTGCAGAAAATAGAAATCGAGTTTTTGAGAGAACGGAGTATCGGATTTGAATGATCTGAAAAACATTCAATTTGTAATGACGGAAGTGGTGATTAGTTTTTGGCAAAGGCAGGTTCAGCCATTTCGGAAATACAGAGCTAAATGTACAAAAAATGGCAGTTTTTGAGTGAACTAAGCTTGAATGATCTAAGAAACTTTCTGCTTGTATTGACAAAACAATTACTTTTGAGGATAAAAAATTATTAATTTTTTTTTATTTTACATAAAATATGTTTGTAATTTTGGATTTAAAAAATGTGAAAATGTCGCCAAGCTAAGCACAGTACAAGTGAAAGTGTCGCACAGAATTATTTGCAAATGCGTTTAGACTGTGACTATACGGGAGCACTTTTTCAATTGTGTGTAAATTAGGCAACTATTTTTTTTTTATTTAATTCGAAATGAAATGACGATTGTTAATGTTTTGGAGATAAATTGATTGATTTATGATTTACATTTGATTTGCTTTGATTTAACAAGATAGCAAAAATAATGAAAGTTACAGTATTTGTAATAATATAATTGAAAACGTTTAAAAATTTTCGAATATCTCATTACGGTGCGGGAAGTTCCAGCAATTTGCCTTAAGGCACTATGCCATACACTACTAGTTTAGTATTTTGATAATTAGCAATATGTAAAGTTAGGAAATTTCTAAGACAACATAAATCGTTCAATCTGAATATTTGATGTACATACTCTAGTATAAGCTAGATTGCTTTTTAAAATTTTGACAAAACTGTTGTATACAGCTATACAATCAATTTGAAATAAAAGTTGTTGTAACGTTTTTCTCGTAATAGACCAGTATTTAGCAATGTGTGAATTTTGGACATTTTCTAACATTTCTTTGAATATCTCGGAATTTTTTCTGCGGCCACTATGTTTTATATACTTCAGTAAAAACTAAATAAATTTTACTAAAACCTGGTATAACCTTTTATTTACACTTACATATTAAAATTTTGAATGATTCGTAGTTAAAATGCTGACTCTAGGGCCTTGAACACTTGCAATGAATGGTCTTAGAACATTTTTTACATTTCTTCAAATAACTTTTGATTTTCATTTTGGACTTTTTAACTTCCCGTAGGGTAAGTTATTGTAATGGGCCGATAATCGGAATTGAAAATTTTTACATTTCTCGACGTTTTGAAGGTTTCTGAACGTTTTGGCATACCTCAGAAATGGTATGGATACAAATTTCCAGTTGCGTTTTCGGGCGCACGGATCAACCGATTTGAATGGTTCAAAAAACATTCGATTCCTATTGATAGGGAAAAGAGCTGATTAGTTTTTGGCAAAGGCAGGCCCAGCCATTTCGAAGATACGGAGCTAAATATGTAAAAAATGGCAGTTTTTGAGAAAAATAAGCGTCCGATTTAAATGATTCAAAGAACTTTCTGCTTGTCTTAATAAAATAATTGATTTTGGAAAAAAAAATTTGTTTCAACTTTTTTTTTTTAAATTTTTTGTATATCAAAAATAATTCAGATTTTATTTTTAATTCTGACTAGAGTTCTAATATACTTTAGAAATAATTTCAACTTTGCAATTCAGTTTATGTAATTCTTATAAATATTAGACGACAATATTACAATATTAATAATAATCTATTTGAAAACATTCAGTATTCTTCGGACATTTATGGTACGGGAAGTTCCAGCAATTTGCTTTAAGGCACGATGCCATAATTGCCTCAAGACAGAATTCCACTTACAGCTAGTTAATTTTTTTACATAAGCAAAAAGTAGATAAAATTTATTAAAAGCTAGTTGAAATTGTTTTTTGCACTTGGATATTGAAATTTTGTATAATTCGTAGTTGAAATGTGAACTTACAAGTTGCAATAAGCCTCACTTTGCTTTGGCTAGTGATTATATGGGGTCCGTTATAGTGTGTTAATTAATAAATATGATTATTTATTTATTTATTTATTTATTTATTTATTTATACGCCAATCGGCTTTATAATATAGTATGCTAATTCAAAACTTGTATATTTATATATATGACACATGATTATGAGACTTATTATTTTATTACTGTTTCAGAATCGAGGAATATACATGTTCAGGCTCGACGAAGATCGTGTGATTGATGCAACATTATGTGGGGGCCTTGCCCGATACATCAACCACTCCTGCAACCCCAATTGTGTGGCAGAAATTGTTGAAGTCGACAGAGAAGTCAGGATTATTATATTTGCTAAGAGGCGGATTAACAGGGGAGAAGAGGTAATATCAATAGTCTTTTGTTTTCAGGAATTCTTTTGCAGTTACTTGATTAGTATCAAGTGTGGTTTAAATGATATTGCATTAATTATTTTATTGTCTCATGTATTGAAACTTTATAATTCTTTTACAGTTGGCTTACGATTATAAATTCGATATTGAAGACGACGCCCACAAAATTTCATGTATGTGTGGGGCTCCAAATTGTAAAAAATGGATGAATTAAGAAAACCAAAAATAACAACATCCATCGTAACAAAAAGTGGTGAGTAGTAGTTGAATAGATAACAAAAAAACATTAGAAAAATGAAGATTATTTTTAAAGAGCTTAAAAGATTTTATATATTAAAACTTATTATAATAAATTTTTAGTGTAAATATTATAAATGACTAAATGTGTATAATTTAATAGACCTTGTGTGCAATTTAAAAAACTATTTTACTTAAATATGTATAAATATACATACAAAATATCACTAAATATGTTTGTATATATTGTTAAAATCATGATTTATGCAATTTTAAATATTTAGACTAAATCGAAAGATTTTAAATTAATTTAATTACTATATATACTAACTGATGAATAATGTATACAATATATATTACATATATTGATAATTTTAATATATTAATTTTACATTTAAGTTTTACATATTATTTTAATTTGCGAAGACTGTTATTTGATATAATTTAACTTTTTATCTAGTTTTGCATACTAGAAATTATAATTAAAATGTTTTATTTCATTTTTAGTTCATTTTTAAGGAAATAATTATATGATTATAAGTATGTTAAGTTTTAATTTGATTTTAGTTTTAAAACATTCCTTATAGTGGATAATAAAGAAGGATTTGTTGTAAAAATAAAAGTGATGTATATATGAACATGTATATAAATAGATTTTAAGTATGCTTATTATACAAATCGTACAAATCAGTTATTTTATACACAAATATTGTAATAAATTGCTTTACGAATGCTAATAAGAGAAAATTGTTGTATTAGTTATTGAATTTTATTTTTATATTTGCTAATCTTTTTCAGCTAATGGAAAGTTATATATATATATATCTTGAAAATTTAAGAAATTCTGTTTGCAATTCTTATTGTAACTTAATAATTTCCAAAATTCAAATTTAGAACTTATTCTGAAATTCAGGATAGTCGCCTTAGTTTGTATGGAAATTGGATATATAAATGTATATATTGATTTATACATAATTATATATTGCCTAACTGGCTTAGTTTATATAGGAAATGGATATATAATTGTATATACTGATTTATATATGATTATATATGGCCCAACTCTGTAGTTAATGTGGGATTTGGATATATAAATATATATATTGATTTATACATGATTATATATTGCATAACTGTCTTGGTTTGTATGCGAGTTGGATATATAAATGTATATATATTGATTTTTTCATAATTTTCGAAAATTTACTTCAGTTTAAAATCCTGCCGCATTTTCAATAAGTGTAGCGCATGCAGCGCCTCTATGCAAAATTGTTCCTAGTTTGTCAATATCCACCGAGCGCATCACACAGTTATTTGCAAAAAGGGACAGTTTTATTAATAATTATAATTATAATGCTTTTCAGTGTTTCTTTATATTACACATATGTAATATTTAATGTGCCAAGCATGGTTATAATTCGTTATTATGTGTTGACAAGTATTATAGCCTTCAATTGCGCAGTAAAAAGAATTGTGAAGTTTTGCCGGCCGCCATTACACATTTCATGGTATTTAAAATGCTATTTAATTTTTTCGTAGTAATATAAATATCTCTGTGTATCGAAGTTTCATTATATCTTTACATATATAAATGACATTCGAAAATAATCTTTTTTTGCGGGTATAATTTTGAGGTTAGGATTTTCATTACATTTTTTTCATTATCCAAAAAATTAGTACGATTTGTTATCAATTATTATTTCTTCAATTCTGGATACGCTACTCAATACTTGGAACGTAATACAAATATCTTTCTATATCGAATTTAAAAAAAAATCATAGTCCATTATTATTTCTAGGTTAAAATTCTTATATTTCTTACAGGTATACCAATGGGGTCTCCCGATACAAGCCAGAATATTAAATGAGCACCTGTAGTTGCCATCACGCTGGCCCAGTAGATACAGTAGTTGCTGTTAAAGTACTTCATCAAATCCCATATTGGTTTCAATGGCAGTTTTGTAGTTGGTGTGTGGTGCTCTCGGCAGTCTTCTAGAGCATTCGAGGCTGTTATTACAAGAGGTTTGTCTGTGACTTGCAGCTGTAAAGGTCAGTGGGTAGATGTAATTTATTAGAAATATTTACTTCTAGATAAAAGATAAATTTCATGCAAGGCGGCAATGGTTTGATGACAAACTTATACTTTATTATTTATTGAAAGATATGTTACATGTTTATCTATCTTAACAAGCTATTAAAAAGCAATTAGAGTTACACAATGTTTTCCTTAAATCAACGTTCTTGAATTGAGTTTTTCGATATGCCATTTTGGACTTCTTATAACTGAATCATTAACATGATAATTAAATAGTTTTGTTCTGATACACTAAAGATTTTATTGCTGGCTTTTTTTTAGTAATATATTGTAAGAACTTGAATTGAATGTGTAATGTGTTATTATCGGACAAAAGTTTAGAACATATTATATAGTTATTGCTGTTGTTGACAAAGATTGTTCTAAGAATCTTGTCTTTCATTATGAAGACTAATCTGAATAATGGAGTTTCTATAATAGATCTTTTTTTATAGATTGTTACATTTTTTCTTCACATATAGTTTCCTTCTGTTCCACTTGATAATGTGCCAAATCAGTGGTGGCTATTTGACGTTTTTCATCCTGCAAATATTCATATCAATGGATATTTCGAATAGACCACGTTTTGGATCATTTTGACAGCTTCTGGGGTATCCATCATTATTGATTTAAATTATTATTATTCATATCAATGGGTCATTCGAATAGACCACGTTTTGGATCATTTTCACAGCTTCTGGGGTCTCCATCATATTGATTTAAATTACTATTCATATCAATGGGTCATTCGAATAGACCACGTTTTGGGTCATTTTTACAGCTTCTGGGGTCTCCATCATATTGATTTAAATTATTATTATTCATATCAATGGGTCATTCGAATAGACCACGTTTTGGATCATTTTTACAGCTTCTGGGGTCTCCATCGTAATGATTTAAATTATGCTTTACTAAAATATTCAGTAAATAAATTGGTACAAACTGGCTGATGAATTTTTAAACTTGTATTACAAATTTGCTAGTTATCACTATTAGGGATTTACTTGAAATCAACCGTCACTATTTCTTTTTAATTTTACAACCTAATTAATTAGGTTGAACTTATAGTAATTATTATTTTATGCCTCGATTTATTAGTTTATTGATTCTGCAACTATAAATGTTGTTTATTCAGTATTTTTTGTATTTCACATTCTAAGACTTAAAATTTTAAATATTTAGAGCTGTTTAATTTCTACCAATGAATTTGTAAGTGATTGATGTAGTCATGAAATTGTAAATTTGTCTTTATAGGAAGAATTATTAGCTTTCCGAAGTTAATAAGGAATGTTTTTACCAGCAAGTCGGATTTGCTAATTTTATGTTTAAGGTCATTCTGAATCGTTTGACCTCAAAATTGGGCAAAGTATATTAACTTGTTAGTGATGAAAACACTAGATATGTGTCATGTATAGTATATAGATATGCAAATGCACTTAAACCTGCTTTGACATATTCTGGGAGATTTTTTTTATGGCTGAAAATAATAAATAGTATTAAATTAAACAACGAAACATAAAATTCTGGACAAATCAAAAATAAAATTTCTTATTTTCGTTAGTCAATTTACATATTCAGATATATAATTTATTTTTTTTCAATTCAGTTGAACATTAAAAATTTGAATTTTAATTTCATAGACACTTATAATTTATTATATATATATATATATATATATATATAATATATATATATATATATATATTCTCATAGGAATCTCATACATTCATAAAATTTGTTGGCACACATTAAGTAACACATTTTAAAAGTATTTAACATTTATTCTTATTAATTGGCTGACTAGATTGTTTTAAATTTTTGGAAATTTGGTATCAGATCAGAACAGTACTCGGATAGTTAAAATTTTATTTGCAATATTATTAGTAATACCCCGTTTAACGCTGTTTCGGTTTAGCTTTTTTAGCTTAAGGATTCTCCAATAAATAGTGGAAATAGCAATTTTTCAAAAATAATTCATAATTTACATTTTAAGTACAATATCAGGAAATTTGGTATTTGTTTTTAAAATGTTTTTTAAATGTTTGTTTTTAAATGTATCAGGGAAAAATTTATGTAAAAATCAAGTATCAGGCCAAAAGGAACGTCCTGGAGAGCTCTTTCAAAACGTTAATATTATATATTGCAATTTTTAGACAATTTTATAATACAAGTTTTAGCAACAATATTAATAAATTTCGTGTTTCATATTATAATAATCATTTCTAAGAAAAATATTCTGGGACAAATCAAGTTTTGAGTGAACAATATAAAATCATCTTTAATTTACGTTTTTGCATTAGTATTAGCAATTTTAGTATGCTAGAAAAATATCTCAAAAATCAAATGTTAATTTTAAAAGGTACGTCCTGAAGAGCTTTTTGAGATCGTTCCTATAAGCCCATTATTTACACGTTCAGATTTGCTATGTCTCGTTTAGCGCTGTTTTGCTTTACGCTCGCCGCGTTAAACGAGGTACTGTATTTGGATAAGAATTTTGCACAGTTTTAACAATAAATAAATAAATTCACTATTTTTTAGCACTCTTCTGACCTGAATCGTTATTTAGCACAAGTCAACATATTGGCAATTTGTTCATATGTCATTTTTGTAGAATCAAAATCATTCCATATTTTTCGAAAATCTTGTCCGGGTTCCAAATCGGTCGTCCTGGTTGAGAATCTGGTTTCGAATTGAGAAGAAATCAGAAATCTCAGGATCTCTTCCCAGTCTCATGAAACTGTCGTTGTTTATATGACGAGTAGGTTTGAGTGAGAGATCGTTTTGATTTTTCTGGAAAAAATATATATATAAAAAATACTTTTGTTTTTCATATTTTTTATCTTACCCCGTAGAAAGGTACACTGACGACTTCCTCGTTCTGTTTGGATTCAGTACTTTCATTTTCTGCAATTTTACCAGTTTTATCGCTTTTATCCAAATTTTCGACAGGGTTCTCGACTTCGGCATCTTTATGCCTCAGAAGGACCAAGTATTTGTCTTTGGGGTACAGACTTCTACCAAATCTGAAAACGATATAACAAAACTACATCATCCATTATTTTTTCTAACAGATTTTGTGCAAATTCAAAATTAATTGGTGTGACTACGTTTGTACAAATTAGATTTAGATTTTACCTGATAAATCCTGCAGTGTGTCCTGGATCGTTTCTTCCAAATCGCATCAAGCTTTGTGTTCTCATATCACGCTAAAAATATCAATAAAATCATCAGTGTTAAATTCGTTATCTTCTTATATATAAAAATGAATCGCAAAATGTGTTGGTAAGCGCATAACTCAACAACACCTGGACCAATTTGGACAATTCTTTTTATATATTTGTTTATGTCCAAAGATGGGAGAAAAAATCGAATAATTGCCAGAAAACCCCTAAAAACAGCCCTTTTCTTTTTCTCATACAAACGTTTTCTAACTAAAATCAATAGTAGAATCAATTTGAGCTTTATTGCTATTATATAAAGTTCATATTAAATTACAAGCACTCACTGTATACTCCTTCTAAACGATTATGCAAATTTTGATAAATCTTTCTGAAGTTTGTTAAGGAAATTTTCTAGGATGTATGTGATTATAAAGTATTGGGATGTTGTGCAATATTATAGGAATAAATGGAAAAAATTGCAAAAAACGAAACCAAAAATTTCAATTTACTTATGAGCCTAGACAACATTCGAATATGTATAATAAATTTATGATTATGAATAAGAAAAATGAAATGTCTACATTATTATTGCCAAAAAGCAGCTGAGATGTGCCAGAAATTAAAATAATATAAAATACAGTATATGTATGGCAGATTGAATGATACACATATGAACAGGATATGACAAACTAATTCACTTAAAATATGAAATTAAGTATTAATCAGGGCTGGACCTAACTTTAATTCGATGCATGCGAAAAATACGAGCGCACGCTTTAGGGGGCGCCAACACAAGATTCAGATATTAAATTTTCAATATAGTTTTTTTTTTTTCAATATATAATTTCTTTGCATCTTTTACTAATCTTTCCACAATATTTTTAAAATTCGTAAAAATTTCACTTTATAACAACAAATGGTAAAGTAAAGATGAATACATATAATTCGGTATCGATTAGGAGAAGTTTAAAATGCAATTTTGGATATCTTAAATAACAAAAAAAAAATTAATATGGTTATGGTTATGTTATACCGTTTAAAAGGTATAACATAAGGCTCATCATTTTATTTAAAGCAGTTCTACATTTAACATCGTTCATATTATAAATGTATCAAGTTGTCAAATATCTCCCTTCCGCTTTTTTATATATATACATATATAAAAAAGCGGAAGGGAGATATTTGACAACCTATTATATGCATTTTGGCGTGAAGAGTAATTTAAAAAACAATAATTATTATTTTTAGGTAAACGGTAAATATTAGTATATTATATTAAAAAATTTTAGACATGGGTACAGGACAACGTCTGTCGGGTCATCGAGTATTTAAATAAGAATGACTCAAACAATATTCAATTCTAAATGTCCCAAAAACGGCAGTTTTTGTGAGAATGGGGCATCCGATTTGAATGATTCAAAAAAACCTTTTGATCGTATTGACGAAGCGATTATTGTTGGGATTTTTTTTGTTACTTGATTTTAATGGCATAAAATTTTCCTTAAAAAAAAAAAAATCTTCAGTACAACTATCATTTATTTCTCGACTTACTTCAAAATGATCACTTCGTCCAAACCGCATCATATTTTGTGGAACTCTACTGGCACGCTGGAATTAATGATCAAGTCTTTATAATTATTTAATCGATATGTTATTAATTTTAATTAATTAACTAATTATAAAACTTACGTTCAAAGTATCGCTTCTGCCAAACCTCATCATGTTTTTATCTCTGGCATTGCGCTGAAAGGAAAGGGAAACAGATGTAAATTTAAAATTTTTATTAATTATATCAATTATTTACACTTGCCTTA